ATCTGGGTCCTTTGGATGCCAGGGATTCAATCCAGACCTCCGGACCGGGTTGCTGCTTCAATCCGGCTGAAGCAGCTTCAAAGATTCGGAGCTGCCTTGGAGATCTGGCCATAGGGTATAATGGGGAATCAATAAAATATCTATAACGTTATTGTTTTTTGTCTGATTTGGATGAAACTTGCAGGGATGGTCGCCTCTACTGAGAGCATGAAGCCTGCCAAGCTTCAAGAAGATTGGTGTAGGGGTTCAGAAGAAAATGCACCCCAAATTCTTGAAAGCAAAACTAATGTCATGGGCACGTGTTAAGCCACAGCAGGGTCAAAACTGCAGGCGTGCTAGTCCCTGGTGAGGCCATAAAACCTGCCAAGTTTCAAGGAGATAGATGCAGGGGGGGTTTGGGGGAAACTGCACCTCAACCTGCAGACAAGCAAAACTCGTGCCACGGGTGACCCTGCGTGTGTTAAGGCACAGGACGGTGAAAGCTGCAGGGATGGGGGCCCCTGCTGTGGCCATGACTCCTGCCTGGGCTTGATGGGCCCAATCCCACATGGGTTTGGTGCGCGGGTGCAATCTGGTGCATGGCCTGAGCCCTATGTGCCAGATTGAGCCCCAGGCTCCATGCCTGACCCCCTACATGTTGGATAGGGCAAACCCAGATCCTGGCCCTGCATGTTGGATTGGGTCCGTTACCCCTATCCTGTGTGCTGGCCTGATCCAGTGCATGGGGCCAAGTCATCCGGCTGCGTGGTTTGGAATGTAATAGGGGCAGGGAGCAGTGGCAGCATTAATCACCACTGTTCCCCCACTGCCAAGTTTCTGGACTCCTGGGGAGCCCTGTGGGCCAGATGACATGCCTCCATGAGCCAGAGGTTGAGCACTACTGTTTTCTATGATACTTGTCACGGACTCTATCTCCTAGCACAAGTGAAATCCACAGCAAATTGTCTGATTTGTCCTTGCTGTTTATTACTGCTTTGTTTCACTCGACTACGTGCGTCATTCCTTGGGGTCAAAGAAATGGGTTGCAAAATATCTGGTGCAAGAACCATCTTTTAACTGTTTTCTCTCTACAGTTTGTTGCATAAATGAGGCCTGTGCCTTGTCCAGGACAGCAAGGTATTTTTAATACCGAAAGTGTTCCCTGCATGCCTACCTAACTCTCTTGACTTTTTTTCTTGTTACTTTTATTTGGGTTTTCGAAAAATACAAAATTCACACAAATACAAAACATACATCATTATAAATCACAGCATGGTACAGCACAAAGAGAATAAAGTAACACCAGTGTCTGCTCACTCTCAAACGCAAGCGTTTAAATTTACACACCAAGATGTGAACTTTTTTCCTCTTCAGGAACAGAGTTAAGTGAATTAAACATAGCTTATCTTTCACTCTACGAAGCCCATAGGAAACCATCTCCATCAACCAGTCTCTGATGACCAAGATATCTAGTGGTGTAACCAAAATGCATGTGCAAGTCTGCTGGGGGTGGAATAAGAACATGTTTTCATCACTTAGCTAAAACCAGAAAAAATAGGAACACAGAATGAATATCAGGTTATATCTCCTCGTTGGTAAGCGTGCCTTTATGGCTCATCCATATCACCTGCAAGAACATTACTGCACATGTTTCTTGAATGACGCAGAGGATGATTTCTTTGCACCAGCATATGTCAATGGGAGCAAACGAATACAGATAGAATAAGTGCAGAGAGTGAGCTGTTCTGCTCAGCAGCAAGACAAAAACATCTCCTCCACTTATCTGAGGTACTTGTCTGGTACTGTCACGGCTTCAATGTTTTTCAGTGCATTTCTCCTCAAAATAGCCTCCATTTGTAGATGAGTGGCGGCACAATGAAATGAAGGGACTTGCTTACTTGTCACTATGAAAGTCTGAGCCTGAACTGGGGCCTGAAGATAGGTCTTGGAAGCCCTAGGCTAACATCC